ATAATATAAATCATGAAGTGGGCAACCTTAATTTTTGTTACTTTTGGGCGGCCTCCTGTGCTCCTCAACAGAAAATTCTCTGACACTCGCCCCTGGTCACTTTGTACAACTCATACTACAGATTTTTTCACACACACACACACGCACAGACACACAGACACACACACACACACCCACACCCACACCACACCACACACACGCACGCACGCACGCACGCACGGCACGCACGCACGCACGCACACACACACACACACACACACACACACACACACACACACACACACACACACACACACACACACACACACACACGCACGCACCATTTATTAACACCTGCCAGCAAATAGGTATGGGAATCATTGTAATCAAATAAAAAGTAGAATTGAAAGAATTGAACTGATATAAAGGAAACTTTGTTTGAACTCAATTGGTAATTTTCAGATTATGCTTATGTCCATCCTACTCCTGTCAAAAAGAAAGTACAAATACACAATCTGTATAACAATTCATCATAGTTCGGGCAGAAGTGACATGAACATGGATCATGTTATTTTAATTTTATCCGTCTATTTTCAAATTATTGGAAAGCCGTAAAAGCCAATAGACGATTTGGCAGCAGCAGCTTATAAGGATCGGAACATATGAGTAATCAGAAGAAGGAATTCGCATACTGCGAAAATAAATTGAAAGTATACTATGGATATCCATAGACCAAAAAAGATAAGGAAAAAGCCTTACAAGAAGTTTGCAAAGAACTGTGAAGTAAATAAAGGAACTACAGGAAATTGATTCAAACCTCTAAAAGATTCGATCAAGAATTCTCTAGAATCTCGATGCTCTTTTTTCTTACCCTATAAGAGGATGAATTAATCAGTTTGTGTTTACATCCGTAATCTCAAGAAAGCGTTGATATTTTGTTGCTCTAGCACTGCGTTTTAAGCTGAAAAGAAGTAAGATTCGTGTGTTATAGTGTCTGATTGGTGGTTTTAAAGGGAGAGGAGGAAAGAAAAAGAGTTAACGCTTGATGTAAATAACGGAATTAACGATTTATTTGGTGTTGAAGGTGATCCATCTTATTTCGGCGTAATTTACGTTTTTATATATATCTCATTTACATTCTCGACCAAAGCTGAAAACATGTAGTGACTGTGGGTAGGACATGGTATGTAGGCCATATTTTATGATCCACATTTGATGAAGAACCATGAACTTAGGTAATTATATGAGACATGATCCCACTGACATTTCCACAAGGGTTGATTGTCATATCTTTTCTTGGAGTTTTCTTGGAGTACTTGTGTAGCCACCACAGCAAAGCAAGAGGTCTGCCTAATGTACCAATGACCACTTATCAGAATGCCTTTTGATTATCTTTGCAGAATGGGACATCTTGTATTCCCAGTTGTACCAGCCATTGCAAGGTTATTCTTGGGAATTGGGATTTCAGGTAATTGTTTTTAGAGCGACGCACCCTCCCAGGAAAAAAAAAAAAATTCTTATGCAGGAAATCCAATGATTTCAACAATTCTTGGCTTTGTTTCTTGTGCGAATGAATCATTGATGAGATCCTAGTACCATTTCCATTGACAATCTTGATTTGATAGTCCTGATAGCAGGGGAGGGCATTACGTATATCAGGGAAATTAAGGGGTAAAACAGGTTTGATTAAGAAGAATAGAGAATAGAAGGGCATAAGAGCAACCCAAAATGGATCAATGACAAATAAAACTACGGACATGCCTACTTTCTTTGAAATATTATTGACCAATGTGCCATAATTTGATAACCTCTACGGGAATCCAGCCCATCTTCCGGTAAAATCTACAGGAATTCACACCATCCAAACTCCGATTGGTAATTGTACAAAATGTCCTGACCAATAAATCCCCTGAGAAACATTCTCTTCACCCTGATATATACAGTTAGATTGAGCTGAGTCCATCCAGTTGAAAATAAAAATACCATTATATCTGGAATCTCCAAACTGTCTGGATTGCTTAATTTTAATAATTTTTTTGGCATTTGGGTTATTTGATAGGCTCAGGTATGAAATTGGGATGGTTACTAAAGTCTATTTCCTCATTGTTGCCACCGTGTAGTCTTAAGAATAACCGAGAATCAATGCAATACTGAATATGAATCATTTCTCAGTGGCCTTCTGTCACAAAATGGCCGGTATTGGCTTGTTGAACCTGGCGCTGGCAGAAGTACCCATGTGCAGAAAAATTTTGCAAAGAACAGTTTAGATAATTCTTAAAACCCATAAAGGAAGTACAATAACATTACTAAATGATGTTTAAAAGAATAAATGTGGAATAGCAGACACAAATAGAAAAATATAATTTTAACAAGGATGTAGTAACACATGAACTACTTAGGATATCGCAGTAATGAGTTATGTGGTCAGTGTTGTGTTTTTTGTCGCAAGATATCGCAGTAATAAGTTATGTGGTCGATGTTGTGTTTTTTGTCGCAAGGTAAACCAGATGAGTACCTTAGACTGTTGAGTGGTGATATGCAGTGAATACGAGGCTGCAGCAGCATAAACTGTTGTTTCAGACTCTATTTCTTATGTTCTTTAAGATAGTGGTATCCAGTTCCCACTATCTCCATGCATCACTCCTGGTAACTTATACCCGATTTCAGAGCTTAGAGATAGTGAAGTTGTAGTGAACTTAGAAGGAAAGTTAAAGAATGTGGAAAATGAGCACTTAAGCCAAAGTTTATGTTTTATATATATAAATATATATATATATTATATATATATATATATATATTATATATATTATATATATATAGAAATGCATTTATTGTTTGTACGGCAGTTGTATCCCTGTTTGGTAATAGTTATATGTACAGTTGTGTCCTGCACGTATGGAGTAAAATCGTACTTCCGCCCATAAACAAGATTGTGGCGTCAACTCAAGGAGATAATACCACGCTTGATTAGGGTAGATTAGGAAAGGTATGGTAAGGCAAGGAATCCCAAATACAGCAGTGTCGTATCCACTGCCATACTTATGACCAAAAAATGACCTTTATATGCATATGCGCATTTGTGTGCTGTATGCCTAACTGTGAGAACTCAGGATATGGCTGCCATATTCATATCCTGAGGTACTCATGAAGGCCCTGATGGCATACATTACCATATGCCATGACACCTTCCTTTTTCCTCCTTATCCTTCCTACTAGCAATCTTCAACAATATTTGGACAGATGGAAACCTTCCTCCTCACTGGCTCGAATCACTCCCAACTTTTTGTAAACCTAATAAATCTGGCATCCTCCCTCAAGACTACCGACCCATAGCCCTGACTAGCTGCTTGTGCAAATTACTAGAAAGAATGGTAAACCTAAGCCTAATGTGGTATCTAGACAGAATTTGGATTCTGTCGTGCTCAAAGCACAGTAGATCCACTTACACATTTTGAAATTTACATATTTTCATTTGCAAACCATAGCTCAGTACTAGCCGTTTTCTATGACCTGGAAAAGGCATATCATACCACATGGCGATACTACATCCTAAAGCAGCTGTCATCTCTTGGCATACGAGAGGACATCGGTGTATTCATTTCATCATTCCTCAACCCAATGCCAATGGGAAAATGTTGCATTCACTTTAATATTTCTTTGTTAAATGTTTCTGTACATATATGGCTCTGCCAGTGCTCAGCCACAAAGGAGTCAATTAGTAGATCTTTTAACCTCACATTTCCTTGAAATAGTGGGAAAACATAAATATTTTTTTACTAGTGCTATTGATATCAACACTTATTTTTGTTATAAACATAATAATTACTATATTGTTGGTGACATTACTAACAGCAGTATTATATACTAGAAAATATTATAAAAAATTGAGGAAAGGGTAAACATGTGAGACAGGAAGTTCTTGTAATTGGCTTACTGGTGACTTGGTATTTGTGGAGCCATCTTTATCTATATATAAAAACATTTACTAAATTAAACATACAGTGGACATGGAATGTACACACATACTGTCTGTGGCGGCAATTGGATAATGAACATACCTTCTGAGTCAAATTTTCCTGTTCAACTTCTTCATCCTTTTCTCATTATGAAGGTGTCCCACAAGGAAGCATACTGAGCACCACGCTATTCCTACCTAGTCCTAACACCAGGTATCAGATCCTCCCTGTATGTAGAGGATTTTATCATATACTTCAGGTCCATCAATACCTCCTCTCCCTCAACAAATCCAATTAGCGATATCTTTAACCCCTTCATGGGCCACAAACCATGGATTCTGCTTTTCCACGTCTTAATCCTTCTCCATTCTCTTTTCCTGATCATGTATAGGTCCTCAACCTCCACTCTCAGTATATGATGTTCCTCTCCATTTCCGCTCCTCTGGCAAATCCCTTCGAGTCATTTTTGACTCCAAACTTTCCTGGCGAGACCACATTCTCTACCTGAAAGAGAAAACCTGCCACCACCTCCGACTCCCATAAATCCTGGGGTTCAAACTGTAAAACCCTACTCCATCTCCATACTTCACTGATCTTCTCTACTCTTGACTATGGCTGTCATATCTATTCCTCTGCTTTTACTTCTCTTCTAAATCACCTTTACTCTCCATCACTGTGTCCTACGTTTAGGCCTGGTCCTCTCTGGAGTTATGCATGTTTTCACTAATTTTCTCTCTATAAACAGTCCCTCAGTCCCTTCTCCCTACCTTTACCTCCTCTCCATGCCTAACTACTCCTTTCTCTGTCCAGATAGGTGCACTCCTCCCCCTTTCACCATTTCCTCGCCTCCGACCCTTACCTTTTTCTACCCATAGATACCAGACTTGGCTTATACCTTCCTCCTGTATCTGCTCCTCTGTTTTCCCCGACACACCAAAATCAGACACCCTCATTTCTATCCATCTCTGGCATGGGTTTTACTATAATCTTCCCCTCCTGTACTTTCAACTTTCCACTTCCACCCAAATCTAGTGACCTTACAACTGAATTGTACACTAGCACACTCTGTTGCCGTGTTCACATCCCATCATCCCATATTTTCACATACACTAGTCTCTGATTACTACCCTCACTTCAAAACCCTCCTCTTCACCCACTGGCAGATATTCTGGCCTAAACAATAATAAACTACATAACATTAAACATTCCTTCTCTCCATGGTCAAAAGCATTCCATAAGAACAGATGCTGGGAAACTGCTCTTGCCTGCCAATACATTGGACATGCTTGCCTCATACATTCCTATCTCATGTCACAATCCAATCCACCACTATGCCCCTCATGCAATGTGCCCCTTTCAGTCACACACATCCTATTACTCTGTCCCTGCATCTCAACAACCCACATCTCTGGTTTTCCTCACTTATTCTCACTTCCCTGACCCCCCAACCTATCGAACATCCTCTAGGAACCCCGTACCATTTCCTTTGATAACTTATTCTCCTTCCTTAGACCATTTGATTTAATCATCCTCTATCCTTCTCCCTCCCTCTCATATCAATAACTCTCCTAATCCATTTACTACTGCCTTTATACCCCTTACACTAACATATTACCTTACCATATGACCGTTGAAACTCAAGTAACTTTACCCTTCCATCACAATACTTTACTATACTGCTATGTAAAGCCATTTATTTATTTTTTTTAATATTAAACATTAAACAATACTTTTTCAGCAATACTCAATAAAACAAGCTTTTCCCTTCATTGTTCACACACACACACACACACACAGCTGTACTAGTGTACATGCACTTAACAAGAATACTAATAGAATTGATTTTATTTTCAGTTGAATTCAGAGAAATCTGATATCCAGCAATTATATCACTGGGATGCAGCAGTGGTTCGAGCTGAAGGTCAAAAGTTGATTATTGGCAAGAGCATGCTGTAGGGCAGAAAGGTCCCCACATCTCAGGATAATGCCTTGTTACAAGGACATGTACAGTATACGAGTCATAAACTGTAATAGCTGTCAAGTGGTTCTAGACTGTGAGTTACATCATGTACATCTCTGGTGTGGAAAGAATTAACGATAGCTAAAAATTAGACCTATTTCTGCCATGGAGAGGATTCTGAGGAGGGGAAGGCTGCAGTGAAGGGGGTGGCATCTACATCGAGCAAGCGTTTCACTAATCCCAGCACTATTGATCGCCACGGCTTAAACATATCTTCTGACATTGTCAGGGAAAGAGGTACGTTGTAATGAATTTTGTTTTTATTGGTATTATGATGAAACTGTATTTTTTATTCATGTTTTTAAGACAGATATGAAGTTTACCTGATTTCCTGTTTGTCTAATTATTATTTCTTTTTCCTTTTCCTATTTTTCTCTTCATTTATTTATATACCTTTCTTCCATAATTATGAAAGCAACTCAAAACTCCTGTGGCTTTTTTAGCAGTACAGGATTATATGTGTTTGAAGAAATATTTTGTTGACAGTGTGACTTTTTTCATGGATTTTTTTTTTTTTTTAATGATTCAAAGAAATAGGATACTGTTGACTGAAATTGCACTTTCTGAAAATCTATTAGGTGTAATAGTGTTCAGCAGATATACAGGTCTTATAAAGAATATGAGTGAAAGAACTTGCAAGCCATATCCTTGTTACAGATTGCTCGTAGCTATAAACTGCAATAGAAACACTCACTAAGACCAGTGATGTTATTATTTTTATTTTTTTTTTCTTGATGCAGCATTGTGTTACTTGTGAATGACTTTGTCACTGTTGCATGAGTTATTTTGATGGTGGCATAGATCTAGCCAGAATGTAACTTTGCTGGCTTACAAAAAGTGGATGTGTAATGGCTCTTTGCAATATGCTGTGCAAAGTACCGAACAGAATATCAAGTCATGTCAAATCTGGATCATTTTGAATGGTCTGCGGATTGGCAGGTTGAACTGAAGTTCTGGTTATGGACATAAAAGCTGTTTTTTCTCATAGTATAAAGTATTTAAATTTTTAACCAACTTTTCAAGGCATATATTGATTTTAACATGTCCGTTTATCTACCTAACACTGCTTCCTCTAATGATATTGTTTTAACAGACCCTGTGCAAGTGTTTGTGCATGTTTTAGTTTAAGCTCTCAACTCACATTTCTGACATTCAGGTTGAAGCCTAGTTGGTATTTAAGATGAAAATATTGAAAACTAAGTACTCATTCTAGTCTTCATTTATAACATTTGATACAGCATCTGGTCGTATTTGAGAAATCAGATTTATGATTTACCTACGTATTTAGTATCATTATGACTACATAAACCTTTAAGTGATGCACAGCGACTAAGTGGCAATGGCCAGCTTGAGTAAGATTTTTGATAAGAAATGGTTTATATCTTGATATTGTATGGAGGACTGGACTCTCAGGTTATACGTGTGAAAATTATTGGGAAGCTTTTTGTATTTTGGTCCTTAAAATACAAGGTTCAAGAAAATTTGCTTTTACAGATTTTACTCTTGAAAGTAAATTGAATACATGTAATGCATATATGCCATGAATTCCAATTCTGAAGATGGAAACTAGTAATTATTCCTCTATGGTTAGCAATATGAGCTAAAAGGACTAAAAAATGTCATCATATCTACAGCTTTCATTAAAATTGTAGTTTAGATTAACAAGTGCCATTTTTAAAAATCTTTCAACTCACCTGTTATACTAGAAGAATAAAAATAGGAGTTATATGTATGGAATTCAGGAAAACATGTTGAGTTATAACCACCTAAACTGTGAAGATGCTCTACAGCTGATCTGCAGCTGCTCAAACATGGAGACACCTGTCCAGTGGAACACTTGTGCTGCCATATCATAATAGAATGATATGGTAGGAGTTTAACATGCCTTGATATGCCTGTGTTAACCTTCCACAGTCTGTTACATAACATCTAAAGTAGTGTATGATTCTGAGCTTGATGACAAATACTTGCATGATGAAAATTTTGGAGGAAAACATCTAGTAGATTTGTTACGTGTTGCTGCAAGTAAAGTATAACTTTTTAGTTTTTTGTTGTGGTTTGATGAAATTTCACAGTTTGACACAGCTAATACAAATAATAGTATAGACATACCTGAAGCTGTTTTAGTATCAGTAAACTGTTCAGGATTTGAATACCTTCTGATTATCAGAGGATGTGAATCAGACACAGGAAACTGCTATCAGTGGAGCTGGATACTGTGTGCTGCATACTGTGTGTTTGGAGTAATGTGCCGGAATACAGGATACATAAAGCTTGAATTCTGTTGCTTAAAATAAGATCTCTTGAATTATGTGCTGTCAGATCACTTTTTGCAGAATCTGCTGATAGCATCAAGAATGCAATGAGGAAAGGGATATGAAAAAGTGTCAACTGTGTATTGATGAAAGTGCAAATAGTTAGCATACTGAGATTTTTACTTTTTTGTTGTTGTTTTTTTGTAAGTGTTGCTCTCTAAGGACAGATATCCAATCCTTTATTACTCTCATGTATATGATTTGTGATATTTGATTTTCAATTAACCTCATTATGATTAGTTTTTATATACATGCACACTATACTGCTGTTATATGAAGTTAATCTTTTATGTACACTGAATGTTTTATTTGTATTAAGATGCACATTGCAGCATACAGTTTGTGATATGACCTAATCTTTGTATCATTTCATAAACTTCAGAGGAGCTTATTATTTGCATGATGTGATAGTTTGTGATGAAAAAAGAGCTTTCACAAAACAGTTGTGATGTAGACTGTCAAGCGACCTGCAAATAGTGCAACATGTAGTTCCGTAAAGTAAAAAACAAAACAAAAAATCAAAAGAAAACGTCGCATTGTTGGCAAGGACTTGTGACGAAGGTATATGATCCTTAATTCTGTGCTGTGTAGTTGTGCGCAAAGATGAGGAAGACGAGTTTCCACGAGAGTAGCTATAGGGCGGAATACTGGGAAAAGCCCACTCGACGCCACACTGTGAGCGTTCCCACCATCACAAGTGGTAAGTGTTTGGTAGTAAAAGATTGGAGAAACAAGGAGACACTTAATGTTTTATAGCTTTTATGATTTGAATGTATATATTTATTTATATACATACATACTTTATATATATATATATATATATATATATATATATATATATATATGTGTGTATGTATGTATGTATATAATGTATATATGCATATCTGTATATATAGAATTTTTTTGTGTAAATGTTCCTGTCTTCAATTTTTTTTGCCAAGATAGATATCCCTAGGATGTATGTATGATCTATATAAAGCCAATAGAGCTTGCATGCACAATAATTTGTCTCTGCTTCAATATCCTACCATGTTTATTCCTTCCATTGCCTCCTCATCCTCTATAGATATATGAGTGATTAACAGTTAGTGCTTCCAGAAGTGTAGGTTTTTCTTTCTCTTTTTGTATTAGTCATCTGTATGCTAGGAAAAAAAAAGGTACCGAACTAGTAAAAGCAACTCATTCATTTATCCAAGTTTATTTTTGATAAGAAACAGATCTATGGCATAACGTTTTACAGTTCAGTTTTTCCATGTTCTTTGATAACTATATCTTGTACAAGGGATGGTAATTGAGATGACACATATTTTTATCGAATTTTGATGTTAACAGGATTGTGACTTTGTGAAAAACCAAGTTCAGAGTTAGCATTTAATTTGCAGGGATTGCTTCCTTTCCGCAGATCAGATTTTTGCCACTGAGAACAGCTTCTTGGCGATCAGTCCTTGGAAGAGCAGATTTTTCTGTTTCCAGGGCTGTCAGATTTTTACACTAGTATATGTATATTGGTTCCACGTTTGCATTACTTCACAGTTCTGTAGGAAGAAATGAAATAGAATTATATTTTCTTCACAGTTTAGTCATTTTAATATTCTTAATGATAGTCTGATTCTTAATCAGTGATAAATATTTGTTTAAGTTTGATTTCTTTTTATGAAAAAATATTTGTATACATAGGTCTTGTAGCTTCACGGATATCCATACAAGAATATGTATTTCTTTTTTATATGGTTCTTAATGAATATGTGATAAATATTTTTTTTATATATGTATTTCTAAAGATTTTTTTTTTACATTTGCATTTTTTTTCTTTTTTTTCTTTTTTCTTATTTTTAATAAATATAATGATTTTCACTTTACTTCTTATATCCATGTTTTACAGGAATATACACATTTTCGTATACTTTGAAATTTGATACTTTATAAGAAGGTATATTCCTACAGGTGCATGGATTAATATATATATTTATATAATATTTCAGGTCATTATGTGTTCATTTTTATGTGAAACTTGCATGCTGAATTTTTTAAAGTGTTTGAATAAAATAAGTTTTACATGCACTAATTTGTAATGAATATGATGTCTGGTGAAGCTTCCTTTCATGATGGGGGGATATGATTTTAATTGTGTTACTGTGCTACTTCCCGAGCTTTTTCTTTCATGAGGAGGCCCCTTTAGGAATGGCTATTGACCATATATATATTATTTCATCTGTTTATTCATTTAGATTAAATTTTTATGTTAATTTTTAGGTTGGATTTTGTGATATGATTTGGGCTTTTGCCTATTAGGCTGAGTAAGTACACTCTGTTATCTGGTCTGCCTCGAAAAAAATTTAGCGTTATTGCAAAAAAACAGAGTGTAAAGTACATTTGATCGACTAGTTCTGTTTGAAAAATACCCTTGGATCAGAGGCAGTATATATTACCTTAGGACGGACCCTTCTGGTTTGTTACACTTTTTGATGAAATATTGTTTTTATTAATTTATCATTGGGTGTTATTATTGTTATCATGATTTTTTTTTTGTTATTATTAGTCATTGTTATTGTTATAATTTTCATTATGATGATTATGATGATTAGGGGTAACAACATTTTCAAAGTTGAAGCTATTGATAATAAGTACAAATAAGTTGATTTTTTTCTTCCTTTGACTAAGGAGAATTCAGAAGATTGTGGGTATTTTTTAGATATCAAGCCATGATTTTGGTAAATAGGTCTCAGAGTAACTTCATGTCAATATTGCTGTAGACCACAGTGGGTCTGCCTTTTGGGTCTGACGTAGACTACACATAATGGAGATTTTGCATGTAAAGTCAGGAAATGGGGAGTATGTTTATTATTCTTCAGTATATTTTTCTTAATTAGAATTTTATCTCTCTGACTTGTAAATGTTAATCTCCTGTCATTTTGATGCATTTTATATTATCCGTATTGATTACTTTGCCTTCTCTACTGATATAAGTGAATGCCAAAGAACTGGAGAGTTCAGTATTTCCGTAAATAGTAATTTTCCGCTTATTTATATATATATATATATATATATATATATATATATATATATATATATATATATATATATGTATATATATATATATATATGTATATATATATATATATATGTATATATATGTATATATATGTATGTATATATATGTATGTATATATGTATGTATATATATGTATGTATATATATATGTATGTATATGTATATATATATTATATATATATATATATATATATATATATAATATATATAATATATAATGTATATGTATATATGTATATATATATATATACATGTATATGTATATATGTATATATATATATATATATATATGTATATATATATATATATATATATATATATATATATATATATATATATATATATATATATATATATATATATATATATATATATATATATATATATATATATATATATATTATATATATATATATATATATATATATATATATATATATATATATATATATATATATATATATATATATATAATATATATATATTATATATATATATATATATATATATATATATATATATATATATATATATATATATATATATATATATATATATATATATATATATATATATATATATATATATATATATGTATAGAGATTAGACTTGTTTTCTCCCCATAGGCTTTCCCTTCCAAAATGTATCATTAGTCTCCTTTTTTTATGCCAATTAACATCCATAGTAACAGTTGGTGAAAATCCAACTGAGTTACAACCCTGCTTGTAATTTTCTCTTGCGCTGTTAGTTTTTGAAAGTCTCTAGATGAAATTAGATTTTTATTGTTATTATTATTATTAGTCCATGATTTCTGATTTGTGTCGGTTTGTATAATAATGATTGATTTTTTTTTTTTTTTTTTTTTTTTCTTTAGGCTTTGCAAATTTTTGTGGAGAATTTCAAGAATCCTAGATTGTTAATTGTAGCTTCAAGATAGATTTATTAATACATTGTTGATTATCACAAAATCTTTGATAAGCTTGATATATTTGCTTTGTTGTGAATTCTATTCAGTGTCTTTATCATGTGCTGGTTATTCTGTTTTCCAAATGAAAGACATATTAGATTTCATTATTTTCTGATTTGTAATACATCACTCTTTATTTCTTTACATATATTGCTGTGTTTTTTTGTTTTTTTTTCTCTCTCTTTTAAAATAAGTTCAGTTTGTGCAGTTCC